ATTCTGCTATTAAATGGACTTTGGCTGGTATACTTACAAACATACACCAATTTATTATCATTCATCCATTATTAGTATCAAATGTAATGTATACTGTCTAGTTTTTTTCCTCTCGCCATTACTTGGTGCAATATTTGAAAGTTGTCTATTTATTTATCGATCTATCTATTATCTTGTATTTATATTTACAAGTTTCTGTGCTTGGAAGAAAACTCTGCATTGAATTGGGACTAATTTATTAAATAATATTATTTAGTATTAATTAATATTTACATTTATTATTAATTACAATTATTTATAGCTTAGTTACTTTCATGTAACTCGCAATCGTACATTCTTAACATTAATAGCCCAAATTAGCACATCTTGCTTTTAAATTAGGCCAAAAAGTAGCAAGTAGCGAAATTAAAAATTTGGGAGCGCTCTCAAAAGTAGCCCAATTCGCTATTTGTAGCCCAATCTGGCAACACTGGTACAAACTGGTGCAGCCGGCAGTGACTATGTAACCCTATTTCATCTCATCCTTTTTGGCATACATACCGTGCTCCCATCCGGTATGTATGTATGTATAGCACTTGATAATTATATTATCATTATACACATTATAATGATATGACCAAAACAGTTATATTGCTAAAGATAGCACCATAACAAAACAGCTATGGTGCTATCTTTATGGGGATAGCACCACTCCATAAAGGAGGAAATAATGCAGAGACAAAAAATTACAGACCGATAGCACTAACATCACACGTCATAAATATCTTTGAAAGAGTGCTAAGAAGTAAGATCTTCCCCATTTTGCACCCGCAAGATAACGTAATATTTTATGGGTTGACGAATGTTAATCTTGTTTGAAAAGCTGTTTACTTGAGACAGTTAAGCAAGTCCCAGTTGTCTCTGGGTACAAGTGACAGGATGAACAACCCAGCGGGTTTTTTTCCTATTGGGGAGTGTTGTACATGCTGCTATGGCGGTGTGTCCACTCACAGGATGAGTGGCGCTGCCCAATACTGTCACTATGGCGGTGTGTCCACTCACAGGATGAGTGGCGCTGTCCAATACTGTCACTATGGCGGTGTGTCCACTCACAGGATGAGTGGCGCTGCCTAATATTGTCACTATGGCGGTGTGTCCACTCACAGGATGAGTGGCGCTGCCCAATACTGTCACTATGGTGGTGTGTCCACTCACAGGATGAGTGACGCTGCCCAATACTGTCACTATGGCGGTGTGTCCACTCACAGGATGAGTGACGCTGCCCAATACTGTCACTATGGCGGTGTGTCCACTCACAGGATGAGTGGCGCTGCCCAATACTGTCACTATGGCGGTGTGTCCACTCACAGGATGAGTGGCGCTGCCCAATACTGTCACTATGGCGGTGTGTCCACTCACAGAATGAGTGACGCTGCCCAATACTGTCACTATGGCGGTGTGTCCACTCACATGATGAGTGGCGCTGCCCAAAAAAAAACTCGTCCCTCGGGGCAAAAAAAAAATCACAAAATCCCAGCATCTTCATAACCCTGGACAAGCAACACGCTGATGAAATGTACACAGATTTCGCAAAAGCCTTCGATAAATGTGACCATGGAGTTATTGCAAACGAAATGCGTTCAAAAGGAATTACCGGAAAAATAGGTAGATGTATCTACAATTTTCTGACAAACAAATCCCAATGTGTAATAGTCAACAAAATAAAATCCAGCCCATCAACCGTGAAGAGCTCAGTCCCCCAGGGTACTGTGCTTGCTCCAGTACTTTTTCTCATCCTCATATCGGACATAGACAAGGACACAATCTATAGCACTGTGTCATCCTTTGCAGATGACACTAGGATTTTCATGAGCGTAGACAACATAAGAGGACACGGCAAACCTCCAATCAGATGTAGGTCTTTCAGTAGGCTACAGAAAATAATATGGTGTTTAATGAAGATAAATTCCAGCTCATGCGCTACGGAAAAAATGCAAATATAAAAACGAAAACGTACAAAACACAGTCAAATCATAACATAGAACGAAAAGGCAATGTAAAGGATTTGGTGTACCTTCAAAGAACACAATAAAGTAGCCGTCACAACTGCAAGAAAAATGACAGGTTGGATAACAACCAAAGAGTATGTCTTGATACTCTTCAAGACATGTGGTAGTAATGGTGTGAGATAGTAGTGTGGAGCTAATGGTTTAGTGGTAGTAATAGTGTGGTGGTAATGGTGTAGTGGTAGTCGCGTGGTGGTAATCTTGTGGTAGTAGCGGTATGGTGGTACTGGTACGGTACTGGTATAACCCGAGACGTAAACAAGTGTGAGACGAGTCAGCAGGACAAGGAGCAGTGATAGTGGAAGTCTAGACATGAGCTCAGACGCTGAGGCAGCCCTTAACCACCTGGCCGAACGATAACACACTCCAAGATACGTCACAACCTTCACCTGGCGCTCACTAAGTGTAAACACTCATGCTGGTTGGACTTGCGTGCTAACTCAAGTCTCCTTGTCCTTCAGTGAGCCTACACCAAATATCCTTCAGTGCTACCTCATGCTGACTGGACTTGAGAGCTAACAAGACACCAGATATAATATGTCTAGAGGCATGACAAAAGCATAAGGGAAGGAACACTTATGACAAAGAGCAGTAAAAACAAAACCAATAGGTTTTTTGTGTTGGTTAATCATAGCAAGTACGGGAAAATACATATGATTACAAGTTTCACCAGACCACACATTAGGTGAAGGGACGACGACGTTTCGGTCGGTCCTGGACCATTCTCGACTTGAGAATGGTCCAGGACGGACCGAATCGTCGTCGTCCCTTCACCTTCTACTGTGGTCTGGTCAAACTACTTCCGCCACGTTATTGTGACTCATCGCCTGCATATTAAATTAATACAAGCAAATGTTGTTCATTCACGAAAGCTATACAACTACACTTCACCTCATTCCAGTACCTCTGAAGGTTTTGAAGTAAACCAGTAAACCATCCGTCCTTGGGCAGGTTAGTATGCACTGCCTCCGAAGGTGTTGAAAAGAGCTTCGGTAAACTGTATCCCCCTCAATGACAAGCGTCAGATCATAATTAAACTGAAAAGGGAACTATGAAGTAAAGCTTTCATCATCTTTCCCAAGTGAAGAAAAACACAAGTAATATAGAGAGGCTTTGTGCTGGAGTTATTTATTACCTACACACGTGTTACATATTGACACAAGAGGAGTATATAGAGGCAACACAGGAGGAGTATAGAGGCAACACAAGAGGAGTATAGAGGCAACACAGGAGGAGTATAGAGGCAACACAGGAGTATGGAGGCAACACAGGAGGAGTATAGAGGCAACACAGGAGGAGTATAGAGGCAACACAGGAGGAGTATAGAGGCAACACAGGAGGAGTATAGAGGCAACACAAGAGGAGTATAGAGGCAACACAGGAGGAGTATAGAGGCAACACAGGAGGAGTATAGAGGCAACACAGGAGGAGTATAGAGGCAACACAGGAGGAGTATAGAGGCAACACAGGAGGAGTATAGAGGCAACACAAGAGGAGTATAGAGGCAACACAGGAGGAGTATAGAGGCAACACAGGAGTATAGAGGCAACACAGGAGTATGGAGGCAACACAGGAGGAGTATAGAGGCAACACAGGGGGAGTATGGAGGCAACACAGGGGGAGTATGGAGGCAACACAGGGGAGTATGGAGGCAACACAGGAGGAGTATAGAAGCAACACAGGAGGAGTATAGAGGCAACACAGGAGGAGTATAGAGGCAACACAGGAGGAGTATAGAGGCAACACAGGAGGAGTATAGAGGCAACACAGGGGGAGTATGGAGGCAACACAAGAGGAGTATAGAAGCAACACAGGAGGAGTATAGAGGCAACACAGGAGGAGTATAGAGGCAACACAGGAGGAGTATAGAGGCAACACAGGAGGAGTATAGAGGCAACACAGGAGTATAGAGGCAACACAGGAGGAGTATAGAGGCAACACAGGAGGAGTATAGAGGCAACACAGGAGTATAGAGGCAACACAGGAGTATAGAGGCAACACAGGAGGAGTATAGAGGCAACACAGGAGGAGTATAGAGGCAACACAGGAGGAGTATAGAGGCAACACAGGAGGAGTATAGAGGCAACACAGGAGTATAGAGGCAACACAGGAGGAGTATAGAGGCAACACAGGAGGAGTATAGAGGCAACACAAGAGGAGTATAGAGGCAACATAGGAGGAGTATAGAGGCAACACAGGAGGAGTATAGAGGCAACACAGGAGGAGTATAGAGGCAACACAAGAAGAGTATAGAGGCAACACAGGAGGAGTATAGAGGCAACACAGGAGGAGTATAGAGGCAACACAGGAGGAGTATAGAGGCAACACAGGAGGAGTATAGAGGCAACACAAGAGGAGTATAGAGGCAACACAAGAGGAGTATAGAGGCAACACAAGAGGAGTACGGAGGCAACACAAGAGGAGTATGTAGGCAACACAGGAGGAGTATAGAGACAACACAGGAGGAGTATAGAGGCAACACAGGAGGAGTATAGAGGCAACACAGGAGAAAAATAGTATCCCATAAGGTCACACAGTGAAAGGATATATAGAGGCAATATATAGTTTCCCATAATATAGGTCACCAGTGATATATATATATATATATATATATATATATATATATATATATATATATATATATATATATATATATATATATATATATATATATATATATATATATCTTACTATCTCTAAGATAATCATGCATGATGTGATAATGCATGTAATCATGCAACCTTTCCTCTCAACTAATGCCTCTCATTTTGTAGGCTTTAATTTCCTACGTAGAAAATAAGGTGTACAGTGAACAGTTGTGGCTCACTCACGTTTACAATGCGTAGGCTGGTTTGGTTTGGTGGCTTGGGGTCATGAGTTTTAGTACCCCATATTGTGTACGTTGTGGCCTATGAAGAGCGCGGACAGATACATCGACGTGCTGACTGTGTCCTTTTTCAAGAGGTGTGGGACCCTTTGACCCGGCGTGGCGGGTATATAAGGGGAGGGCAGGTCGAGGAAGGCAGCAGGTGTGGTGGCAGCGTGTAGCAGCTATGACGGCCTCCACGGCTCTGCTAGTCTTCGCCCTCGTGGTGGGCGCTCGTGCAGGTCAGACCTCCTGTAACGTGTTGTTGTTGTTTTAGATTCAGCTACTTAGAACAAAAGTTCCAAAGTAGCACGGGCTATGGTAAGCCCGTAGTGGACTTACCTGGCACAGGAGCGGGGCTGTAACACTAACCTATACAATACATAGCCAATAGTGTGTACCTTGCTTCTTGTTGTATGTACATTTGGAGTTTACTTCAGTTGTGAACTGTGTTCAGGACTCAAGTATATGAGCGGGTTGGTCAGTAAGCTCTCAAGAGTATCTTTTACTCATAATGGACCTGTGTAATAATGACATGTCTTGCATAGGCTACTTCCCGCAATTTTCAGTTTATTGTTATAATTTAGTTGTATGAAAACTTGACACAATTATCAGATTATAATCAAAATTAAAAAAAACTACTTACAGCCAGCCTAGTACTTTCCTAAACTTTCATTTATTCTAATATTATTTTATTAATTTAAAAAAAACTAGACTGATGCTCGAGGTAAAATTTAGAGAAAATAAAATTAATTATGTTAAGCTGAAATGTGATCTAGATGTTCATTAATTTTAACAATAAAAATCAGTTTTAGTGATAAGAAAACCATTGAATTAACAGTTATTTTGCCGTTGTGTGAATATGATAGCCTGATGGAGCCTTGTGTAGTAGCCAAAGGGGATGTCCATAGTTCACTCGTCCAGACAAGCATTCACTATATGTAAAGAGAACATAATGTGACACAGTGGCTTACTCTGCTCTTGACCAACAGCTCCTCATGGAAGAGACGCAGACATATGCTCGAGGGAGTGTCCCGTCGCCGGCGCTCCCAAGCTCTTCTACCAACCAGGAAAGACCTACACCTACGAGTACTCCGGCAAGTCCAAGGTCCAGCTGAAAGGTGTGGAAGGTGGACAAACAGAAAGGGATTGGTCAGCAAAAGTTGAACTGTCATGGATCACCCCATGTGACATGGTCATCTCCTTGAAGGAGGCGAAGGGGCATAGTGGTCATGGTGAGTGTAGCCTTTATAGGCATTCATGATAATTATGTTGCAATATTGAAGCCTATACTGCACCACACTATTGTTGCCAGTTGCATTATGGTCTACAATCCTCAGATAAACATGAATAGCCTACTGTCACAATACTGTATTTCAGGGCCTCGGAAAATGTGCAGCTTATGCATTCAGATATTTTTTTTATACTGTATGTAGTAAATTCTGGTGCCGTCCCAGGCCAGTCCTGGTCTAATGTTACCTCTAGTTGTCATACCTACTGGTGTCCTAACATACAGGTCCTAATCTAATGTTGTCATTACCTCTGCCAGGGCCAGCAGCCGCCAGGTTCCTGGAGAGGTACCCGCTGGTGGTGGCGGTGGCCGACGGCCGGGTTCAACACGTGTGTAGTCATCATGATGACGACGCCTGGTCCATCAACATGAAGAAGGGCGTCGCCTCAATCTTCCAGAACTCTCTCCCATCCAATTCTACCATCAACTCTGGTCAAAATATTACTGAGGTAGGAAGATAATTTAAATTTATTAACAAATTATCAAAATATGTTACCTAAGGCTTTCTAATTTATTATGTTATCATATATCATTGACAAAAATGAGTTACCAATTGGGCTTTTCATTGACTTGAGAAAGCCCTTTGATACTGTAAACTATAACTACCTCTTACTTTAACTTCACCACTATGGTATCCAAGGCCTTGCTCGGAACTATATTCGTTCCTATCTCGGTGACAGACACCATTATGTAGCCATCAATAACATAACCTCGCCAGCTCTACCATTAATAGCAGGAGTGCCACAGGGCAGCATCTTAGGACCTCTTCTATTTCTTGTATACATCAATGATTTGCCAAATGTTTCTAACATTCTTGAACCTATACTATTTGCTGACGATACTACTTTCATCTATTCTGTCCCCAACCCCCCATACACTAAATAATATTGTAAATAAGGAATTAAAAAAATAGTTCACCCATGGATATCAGCCAACAAACTCACACTAAACATAGAAAAGATCTACTACATTTTATTTGGTAGTAAATCATCAAATCAAATTCAACTTCAGATAGACAATGTTAACACTAGCAATAAAAATTAGGGAAAGTTCCTTGCTTTATGCATAGACAAGAGACTCAACTTCAGCACCCACATACAACACATAGCCAAAAAATCTCAAAAGCGGTCGGAATACTCTCTAAAATCAGATATTATGTTTCCCTGTTTGCTCTTCTCTCATAATACTAACTACCATTATACAACGCCGCTAATCTATCCCTATCTTACATACGGTATCTGTGATGGGGTTCAAACACTGCAAATTACCTCAAGCCTATCATCACTCAGCAAAAATCTGCTATCAGAACTATAACAAACTCTGTCTTCAGATAACACACAGCCCCCTCTATTAAAGTCTTTTAACATATTAAACATACACTCACTCCACACATTCCCATGTGCCATTTAAATGTACAAAACCTTGTTCCTAAATGCTAATCTTGACCTTAAACTTGTCCTTGACAGATGTAATAGAACCCATGAGCACCACACCAGAAATAAATATCCCATTGTTATCCCCAGAGTCAAACTAAATCTGTGCAAACACTCCATGCAAATGAAAAGACCCAGTCTATGGAACTTACTCTCTAACGAATTAAAAAATTGTCCAGCCTATGCCTTATTCAAAGATAAAACCAAAAAGTACCTAATTTCATCCTCATAGTTTCCTACCTTGTGCTTCAAACTCACACTATATTTTGAACTACCCACTTCCCCAGTATTAGTACTGAACACATATCTTCACCAGTGTAATCACCTTTGTCAATTTATATTGTAGTTATATGTTGATATATAACATTGCTACAATGTACCTTATCATCTTACCTGATATGTTAGATTAAGGACCTACCCAAAATACTATGCGTGTTAGTGGCTACTAACAGAATATTGGATTTCAAGATAAAGCAAACATATACTGTGCCTAGAGCCCCTATTACGCACAGCACATATACTGTGCCTAGAGCCCCTATTACGCACAGCACATATACTGTGCCTAGAGCCCCTATTACGCACAGCACATATACTGTGCCTAGAGCCCCTATTACGCACAGCGTTTCGGGGGAAAAAAATTTATAATATATATAATTTCCTCCCTTCAAATATAATTATCATCATCATCATCATCAACTCTTTGTTTCCAACATTCAAGGGGTTGAGAGATAAGAACTGAAGAAATGTAACCAGTACAATCACACACACACAATACATCCACCTCACTCAACCAGGTGTTAAGTGTGCCCCTAGATCTAGTATTATATTCAGTAACGTCTTTACCTACATACATATTCAAGCTGCAACATTGTTTGTGTCGTCACACTACGAGTTGTCTGGTGTACACCATTCACTGTCAGTTGTCTGGTGTACACCATTCACTGTGAGTTGTCTGGTGTACACCATTCACTGTGAGTTGTCTGGTGTACACCATTCACTGTCAGTTGTCTGGTGTACACCATTCACTGTCAGTTGTCTGGTGTACACCATTCACTGTGAGTTGTCTGGTGTACACCATTCACTGTGAGTTGTCTGGTGTACACCATTCACTGTCAGTTGTCTGGTGTACACCATTCACTGTCAGTTGTCTGGTGTACACCATTCACTGTCAGTTGTCTGGTGTACACCATTCACTGTGAGTTCTGCTGCACGCAATATTTACTTTGGTTTGTTTTTTGTACAGAGTGAATTAACTTGTAAATGTCCTCCGATTTATAACAAATAAAATAACTGTTTCCACAATATAATATATGGGGTTTATGTAAATATTGCTGTGAAGTTGCCCTTTTAATTACATGAAAATATTTGACAGACGGACGTGGTAGGAACGTGCCCAACGAGGTACGAGGTGCAGAACCAGGGAGACAAAGTCATTGTGAAGAAGGAGAAGAACCACCGCCTGTGTAAGCAGCGTTACCCGACCCCTGCTGAGACCCAGGTTCCCTGGCTCAAAGGTCCTCTGCCGCTGGAAGAGTCCCGCTCTGTGTGTAAACAAGAGATCAGGAACGGAATCTACTCCAGCATCACCTGTGAGGATAAGAACGTGGTCAGACCCAGCTATGGTGCCTATAAGTATATTGAAGCCAAACAGGAGTCCACTTTCAGATACATCTCAGAATCCAACGACGAATCAGGTGCCGCCTCTGCCATCTCTCAAGAAAACATGGACCGCAGGAGTCTCCGGTTTGACTACGATACCTTCAAGAAGGACCCGTCCATGGTGGCCCATTTGGATCAGACCATGAAGCAGATCTGTGAGAAGACTGAAGATGCTGTTGAGCGTGATGTTGGTGCTCTGGTAGCCAAGGCTTTGCATCTCATGCGCCGGGTACCAGAGGATGCTATTGCGCAAACTTTGGATAAAATTCGCAGCGGACAATTCTGTCAACACTACAAGAAGCTGGAGGACATTTTCCTAGATTCTGTTGCCTTCGTCCACGAGGCTGGTGCTGTTAAGGTTATGGTGAAAGAACTAGTTGGTGGGGATCTCAAAAATGGTCGTGCTGCTCTCTACACTGCAGGTCTCTACCTTCTTCCTCGTCCATGTATCCATGCCATGATGGCTCTCAAACCATTGTTCGAGTCTGACCATCCTCTACCAATGCCCACTCTGGCTGCTGCTTCAATGGTAAAAACTTACTGCCGCCACAATGACAAATGTTTTGAATTAGCACCAGTTAGGAGCCTAACTGAAGCTCTAGGTCACAAACTACAAAGTCAGTGTTCTCCTTCTGACGATGAAGAGACAGAAAAAGCTGCCCTGACAACACTTAAGGCTCTGGGTAACATGGGCATAATGACCCAAGAGGTGGCCAGGTCTGTCTTCAGATGCATGGAAACAGAAGGAGTTAAGAACAACATCCGCGTGGCCGCCGCACAAGCCTTCAGACAAACAAAATGTCATCGCCAGGTAAGTAGCACCAAAACTTTGGTTATGATAAAATATGTGACTTTCTGATCGCTTGACTTTGCATTCTGTTTTCATCATTATTATGTATTTTCAACCCAATTTTCCACATTGTGATGTGTTATTAACTCGGTTATTACAGTCGACCGAGCAGCTCGTTAACTTTGCTGTTGATCCTGCTAAAGAGACTGAAGTTCGCATTGCCTCCTACCTTGTGGCAGTTCGATGTGCTAAACAAAGTGACTTTGAGAAAATTGTTGCCAAGATTTCCAAGGAGCAGAACACCCAAGGTAAGTGCGTCTACTCATTAAAATGTTTATCCATTTTGGTAAATAAAAGTAATGTGTTACAGATGATTCAAAATATATTGACACTAATATGACAATAGCAATTTATTTCTTATATTTCAGTTCGTGGATTCATCTTTAGTCATATCCTAAACCTTCAACAGTCTGATGCGCCTGAGAAGGCAAACCTCCGATACCTTTTGGAAAATATTGTTGTTCCTAGGAACTTTGATAAAGATATCAGAAAATATTCTCGCAACATTGACGTGTCATACTTCTCCTCGTCCCTGGGGGCTGGTGCCGGCGTGGAGTCCAACATCATCTACTCTCCGGGATCCTTTGTCCCTCGCTCTATTGACTTCAACCTCACCGCCGCCTTAGCGGGAATATCAATGAACTTAGGCGAGGTTGGTGCACGGTTTGAGGGCTTCGAACCTGCCATTGAGGAAGTATTTGGACCTGAAGGATATCTCCAGAAAACTAATTATGGCCAGTTGTTAAATGACGTTTCGCAATTTGTTGGAGAAAAGGGAAAAAATATCCTTGAACATTGGCACAAAGGAAGTAGAGAAAGACGATCAATTAATCCGTCTATCCTGTCCTCATTGTTCAAAAAACTTTACAGTGATGAATCAAGAGTTACCAAGGCTGATATTTTTGCTCGCTTCATGGGTCAGGAGATAAGTTTCGCTTCACTAGCTGGAGACTTAAAGGACGCCAGTGTTGACAAAATTGGGAACTATATCGCCCCATACTTCCACGATTTTTTGATTCAAATAGAGAACCTGGACATTAATTCCGCTCGAACCGCTCAAATGAACTTTGATTACTCTTTCCCCACCATCCAGGGGACACCCCTCAATCTTAAGATGGTCGGAACGGCTGTTATTGGACTGAAAATGGAAGGAAATCTCAACCTTATTGAAATTGGACATGATATGAGAGATGGTGAGAAGACTCTCAAAATCATTCCAAGTCTATCGATACAATTAGACGGTTTTGTTGGCTATGATGCTTACCTCGGCAAGCATGGACTCAAGAAAAACACCACCATCTCGACTAGCAACGGTCTCTCTCTCAGCGTTAAGACCAACAGCAAGAATGAGCTGGAAATTCAGTGGGACCTTCCTGAGAAGATGGAAGTTATTAATGTGAAGAGTGAGACATACCTCATGATGAGTGAGAGAGGCAGACCAGAGACCAAGGTCATCCCACAATCCATGAGGGACACCAGGATCAGGACCCATTCGTGTATCAACAGTCTTGAACCCGCGCTAGGTCTCAAGTTCTGTTATGAACTGGACATCCCGGATGTCTTCCGTAGCAACTCTCTGCCACTTGGGGCCCCGGCCATTGCCAAGATATACGCCGAGAAGGAAGAGCCATCCATGAAGGGCTATCGTATGACAATAGGCGCTCAGGACAAGAGAGGAGCCAAAATGTTGATAGTAAAGGTAGCAATATCTGGTTCTACAAGACTAAAAGAAGCTGAAGCAACTCTGTCCCACACCAAAGAAGGCGATTCCTCTGTGCTTTCTGCCCGACTAAAATCTAATGCAGCTACCAGTGGAGTCTGGCTCAACATCATCAACGGCCATGAACACAAAGGCGTCCAAGCTCATTTTAAGCACAAGTCCGATCAGAATGACATTTCTCGTGGTATTAAGATAGATATGACGAGCAGGTCAACGTCGTCTGAGAAAGAATACCGGTTTGAAGTGTTCAGCAGTCGAAACAGGAATTTCCCGCCAGAGTCTCAAATCTTTGAAAGCAGGTTTGAAGCCAAATTGGATCGTCCTGTAATAGTTGTGGACATGTTATCCAAAACCAAGAACAACTTAAGGAATTATTTGGACTGGGATTTGGAAAGTGAGTTTATTTTGTTTTAATATTTGTGCAAGTTTGTCATGAAACTTGGCAATATGATTCTATAATTTGAGAATTACAGAATCTATAATTCTATAGACTCAATAATTTGAGTCTTCAAATTATTTCACTCAAATTATTTGCTTAATTTGAATTAATAGTATTATTATTATAATTTTAATACCATCATATGAATCCTAATAATTTATTATTTTCTCATTATTCAAAATCAAATGTAAATGCTGCTATTATTTGATTAGCTTAAATTTAATTGATAATAATGGTATAACTACTAGTATTATTCACATTATTATAATCACGATATTTATTACCATTGTAATGCAATATGAACATTAATGTTGCTTTCTCACTACCATTCGTTTAAACAAATCATCAATATATATATACAGTCGGAGCGGACCTGAGGCACTCCCCACACTTCTCCGTGCCCATGTTGTCGACGCTGCGCAAGTTCGATTTCCGGGCCGGCATGGGAGGGTGGAAAGTCAGCTCCATTATAAAGCAGACACGCGAGTCGAGCGAGAATTCTGCTTTTTCATCAGCTTTCAAGATTGCCCGAAGGAGCGATGAACTGTTCTCATTTGAGGCTACCCACACTACACAAGGGAGACTTTACCACGACTTTGTCGCCAAAACTTCCGCAAAGAGTAATAATGATATTTTAACATTTTCCTCTTATAGATATAAACATTTGTATACATAGATATAAACATAAGTGTTCATATTGATGTTATGGAAGTCAGTTGATGCAACTCGTGTGTTATTTGTTTTTACCCTAGATGTTCTGTATCTCTAGTCTTGTGCTTCTCCTTTCAGTTAAACTTGACAGGTTAGAATACAAGGCGTCTTGTGATGCTCACTGCGGGCAGGAAACAAAGGGCGTAACGCTGGAGATCATCAACTCTGCGGGCAGCGAGAAGATCGCTGACATCAAGGCTCAATATGATCACACTGGAGACTCGCTAAGCGCCAAATTCGAGGTACATATTAGTACATATATCATATAATTGCTATTAATTAATATTTGAATCTGTTCTATTTCAATTTATTCATATTGGTTTCGTTAAGGTTTAAGACATATCTACATATGTTTGATATTACACAAAATACAACAATTTATTAATAAATCATATTAATAATATTGCATGTATTAGGTGGATGTGCCAAGGTACATAAAGGCCATTAAGTTTGAGTCCAAGTTGGCGGGACATGGACAGGAACGTTACATGCTTGAAACCGCCCTCAAGCACGGAGACCACGTCATCCTTCAGGCTCAAGGACCAGTCACCGCTAAGCTCTCACCCATGACAGAATTCCAAGCTGATATTAGGTTCAATACCCTCAACAGCGGACACCACAGGTTCGCGTCCACTGTTAAGTTTTCCACCAACCAACAGATACTCTCCTTTGAACTGAAAGACGAACATGAATCCATGTTTGCTGTAGAATGGGATGTTAAAGCTGAAGCCCCTAAGAAGACTTCGATGATCTTTAAACTCAAACTGATGTCACTATTAGAATATGAAGTCGATGCCAATATGAGCGAGAGATCTGTCCGTGTTAATTTTAACTCGTTGCTATTCGCCAAAAGCTCTTCCCCTCGTCGAGTGAAGGGATACACTGAGATTGATGTGCAACAGAAGAAAATACAAGCTGACCTCTCCCTGGACGCAGATCGCGACGCAAATAAGAAAATTGCATTTGAATGTTCACTGTCGAGCAGCTCATCAAGCCCCCTACGCGCTACTATCGAGTAAGTAACTCGCCAAACATTATCACCATATAATTATTTCCTTGATTCATATACCATTCTTCCTGACACTATGACGGCAAAGTCTTTGATGCGAAAAACATCATAAATCAAATATAATGAAACACAAATATATCGTAAAATATTCAAATATACAAATAAACTATGAATTACGCAGGTCAATAGTGACAAAATGATTTAATAGAATTATCATGATATATTATTAATTATATAATCTAGAGATGCTACATTACCTCTTGGTATATTTACATTTTAGATGAATATTAAATACAAATAAAATCTTAAATGCAAACGTTTCACATTAAAATTCCAACAGGAATTTAGTTCGTATTTGTTTTGTTTTTGTAACGAAAATTGTGAATTACACGTTTTAATTTTTCTGATGTGGAATTTTCTTCAAAGTATACTGTTTGTTGCCTACAGAGGACACTTTGTGTGGAAGTCCATCACTTTTCCTTTCAAATTAGACGTTACTGCAACTAACATCCTGGTTCATTCCCGAGGGGAAAATGGATTTAATTTGGAGATAATGACACCCGTTCAACGGACAATCAAGCTTGAGGCGGTGAATAAGATGGAACTACAAAGAAATGGCTTCAAGAGCGACACTCGTGTCCATTATATCGACTTATTAGGTAAAGACTACAAGTTGACCAATCACATGGGGCTGGAAAATTTGGGCGACCCGTGTTGCTTCAAGGTGGATTATCGGCTAGGCTACACCTCGCCGCGAGGCTTGGAGTCCTCACTAGCCCTAGATGCGAAGCACCAGAAAACTCAGCACGGACGCATCATATATTCTAAGGTAATATAATTGTTTTTTTTCGAAATATATATGTACTTCATTTATGAAATGTATGAGGTAGAGGGAGATAGGGGAAGTTGAGGGAGATGGAAGAGGTAAAGGGAAGGGTAAACCTCTATTTCCCTCTACCTCCGCCATCTCTAGAGGGAAACACCTCTAAAACAAATAAAAATAATAAAATCTAACGGATTATCATATTAATTAATAATAAACTACGTGCCATTATGAATATAGAAATGTCTATCAGCAAAATATTCTCATCCAAAGTCACCACATAGATGAAACTAGTTGTCTTATTAGAAAATAGTTGATTATTAATAATAAATAAACAACTTATTAATAATGCCTAAATATCTTCAGGTTTCAGCATCGACTCCTAGCAGCAGGAAGCCTTTACAGGTAGAGTTCCAGTCCTCCAGTGAGGAGAACTCTTATAACATCCACTGGAAGGCGGACCTGGACTCCCCAGCCACCATGTTCAAGTGGGACATGGAGACGCACCAGGAGGGTGGTGTCAAATCCTTTGATTCTTCGATAGATATGACAGCTGTCCGTGACGTAATAAAGACCGTGCGTAGGATGGTTGAAGGAATAAAGCCCATCAATGAACATCCGGTTAGAGGAGGTAAGCAGAGTAACGAAGAAAAAGACTATGACAGTAATACGGACGAAAATGTGGATAGACCTGACAAAGGACACCAAGGTGAAGACTATGAAAATTACCCGGACGAATATTCGGATAGAGCTAATTTCCAGAGTAGCGAAGGGAGAGATTATGTCAACAACATGGACGAACGTCCTTCTAGACAGCATTACCAGAGAATGCGAAGACAGCTAAATAAGAAGTTTAGAAACGAACCTGAGTATAGATCATCCGACTTTGATTACGAAAGAAATGAACCTCAGGATGGAACGCTTAAGTTGAGAAAGGTAGGAAACGATTACGACAATGAGAGAAACGATTACGACAACGAGAGAAACGATCAAGACAAGCCTAGCAAAGATAATGACAACACAAGGGAACATCCCGGTCGAGAGTCTTACCGTTACCGCTATGAAAACCCCTCACCCGACACCTACTCCCTGCTCTACAGATCTCCATTCCGCTCCATGGAGGGTGAGGCAGAGTTCTCTTCTTCACGGTCAAGTCTCAAGTTCTATCCTAACAGGGACCAGAGTGAAGACAAATACCAGATCGCTACATCCTCCGAAAACAACTCTGACGAATCGTCCAAGTTCGAAGGCAGCTTTAGTCGCCCAGGTCATAGGGACATGCGATTTGAACTTCAACGCTCCGGCAGCGGAGAGAGCTTCAGAGGCTCCATTGAACTAGACATGTTCCCAGACACAGCAGACAAGATTACAGGCACCCTGCAGTCAACCCTCACCGCCGAACATACTGTCCAGATTGAAGCATCTTTACGTACTAGGGTAGGTTATGGTCTTCTGTTGTATGAAATGAGAACTGTATTGAATAATATTCACATGAATGCTTCTTTAACAGCTTTGATCAATATATGATTCTTGCAGGTGCTGAAGGTTCATCCCAAGGTCACCGTAATGGCAGCCTATGCTAACCACACGACTGGCTTCGATGTCCAGTTCCAGGAGTCTCCCTCCTCCCCGGTAACCTTCCAGGTGTCGGCCATATACGACCGGGTCTCCCCTAGAGATGCAACAATGGCCTTCCGTGTGATTAACGCTGGAGTCCCCGTGGTGGACATCGCTGGAACGATGCAGCGTGAGGAAGATGCAGAGTGTAACGGCCACAAGGTCAAGGCTGTGGCTCACATTTCTCCTCTTGGCACTTATGACATTCACTCCAAGCTCTGTAAACCTGCCTTCATCCAAATAAAGACCAAGAAGCATCATACTGAGATGGTTTTCACCACGAAGCTGGGTTACCAAGCACCCAATGATATCGTGGCCAGTATAGCTGCGGGCGGCGACGTTCACCAGGAGAACGATGTCATTTGGATGAAGCGCGTAAAGCTTGCGTCTCCTGTACGGGTCAAATTTGAGACCGCTTATAAGCAACAGGAATACACCGCGTGGAAGGTGGGTATGAAGCCAACTTTGTTAACAACTTTTGATCAACATATATTTTTTGTAGTAATATCTATTACAAATACAAAATTGTTGATAGTGACTAATAGTGACTGTCAGGAGGAGCCTGACAACTGAGTGGACAGCGCATGTGATTCGTAGTCCTAAGGTTCTGGGTTCGATCCCCGGTGGAGGCGGAAACAAATAGACAGCTTCTTTCACCCTGATACACCTATTCACCTAGCAGTAAATAGGATTTATGTGTTTTTGTTGCGAAACGTGTTATGTGTGAAACTTTTATGTGTTTTTGTCCCAAAAATTACACAAGCAATTTTCTCTTCATAAGTATATGACTACAAATTCTTGATTATATTGTTTCAAATATTTTTCTAAAAGTATTTGAATATTTATTTACTAAATATTCAATTATTAAATATTTGTATATTGTTTTTTAACATTTATATATTAAATCTGCATTTTATTAAACGCTAACTTGCTGTTTAAATGAGAGAAACAGCTACATTTTCTCAGTTAATTTAGGAATTATTATAAGACTGTCTTCACATTTGCTTGTACAGGAGACTCTGAAGGGCGATTATCAAAAAATCCGATCGGCTGTTGTGTCAGAAGGTCACCGCTGGTACCGGTACATGAAGCAGCAGGCCCGTCAGCAGGGCGTGCCCTTCCCTGACCCCCAGATCCTTGCACTGATCGAGGAAGCCAAGAGTGACCTAAACCAGATAAAATATAAAGTATATGCGAATATAATAGATCGTTGGCATAGCTATATTTACGACGTACTGAGTGATCCTACAGTCTCTGATGTATTGAGGTTCTTCTCCGAAATGTGGCACGGTGCGGCAGACTTCCAAAAGACCTTGGCGGGTCGTCTGGCTCAGGAGGTCACTGCTTGGCAGGCAGACTTCCGCGGCTTTACTGAATTTGTAAGAAATGGTAAGTTGTGTGTGTTTAACTTTATTGTATTGTTTACCCATTCTTTAAGTGTGTCTGATCAAGTATATATATATATATATATTAAACAATATATATTTTGAGATGTAACGAAGCTTTAGTACAAATGGGCATGTAATTATTGTGTTTTTACTAGTTATACATTCTGTACGAATATTTTAATTCGACCGCCGGCGATCATTTATGCGGCATACAATAGCTAGAATTTAAGCCTTTACAGTTTAAACATTTCTTTGTGAGATATCACTTCTGGAGTGCTAACAACTTAACACTTTGGGACCACGAGATTACCTCCTGGAAGGTGGTACCTTCTGGTAGTACCTCTTGATAGCACCTCCTGGACTACTGGTTACCTGGTTCATACCTGGTTGATGGGGTTCTGGGAGTTCTTCTACTCCCCAAGCCCGGCCCGAGGCCAGGCTTGACTTGTGAGAGTTTGGTCCACCAGGCTGTTGCTTGGAGCGGCCCTCAGGCCCACATACCCACCACAGCCCGGTTGGTCCGGCACTCCTTGAAGGAAACAATCTAGTTTCCTCTTAAAGTACCTGTATAGTGAATTTAATTAAAATGATTTAATTTACTCCAGCATTACTGTGGTTAAATAGCGGAGGCCATTCAACCACAGTATTAAAAACAGTCAATATTGAAACCCAGTTGACAGGTTAAAAGGGTTTCCTTGTGGGGAAACATATGAACTGCCACAAAATAAACACATTTAATACACTATTGAGACCACGAACGCCGTCTCCACAGCTGTGGCAGAGATTGCACGAATGGCAGAGACGGGTGAACTCCCTGACGCAGTACGTCGCCTGCTGGAGACCACCAAGATCTACAAGGTCCTCAAGAGTCAACTGGAAGCCACAAGGCAGCGGTTCCCAGAGGAGTACGAGGCCGTGATGCAGGTGATGGCCAAGGTCCGAGCAACTCTCAAGCAGGACTTTGAAAAAGTGAAGGCGAAGCTCATGCACATCCCCGCTGTGGAGAAGGCCGTCTCTTGGATCAACCATTACAGCTCCGTTAGTCACATTCTATAATTTTTTGTCTGTGATCAATAATTGTATATACTTTCGTTAATTATCATTTTAACTACGTTTCGTTAATTATTGTTTACATTTGTATTGGAATGAAGAGATTTGTATTTTAACTGGTGTCAGCTCCAATATATTTACAAATAATTGTGATAATTTTAAACTTGCGTTTTTGATAAATGAAATTTTGTTATGATTATCAACGTAATTATATATTGTTTTCCAGGAGCAGTTTATGAGATGGGAAGCTGATAAGTTCATAAGTCGCCTACTTCAGGAAGTAAACTTTATCTCGACCAAATCTGATGCTGGCTACAGTAGTGCAGAATTCCATCTTCCCAAACCTCTGTATTCCTTAACCCAGTTTATCCAACAAGCATTTCCAAGTCCTACTAAAATGCTTAAAAATTTGATATGGAGCTTTGATACATACATTCCAGCTCCTGTACAAGATGTAATCTGGGCGTACTATGCTTCCATGCCTCCTTACAGAACAGGTTCACTTTCTCAGTACGCGGCATATCTTCTGCCCCCATTCAACCGCACCGCCATGGTTGTGAGCGACACAGAGATCCTCACCTTTGACGGCGCTGTGCTCCGAGCCCCACGCTCACCGTGTGAGGTTGTCTTGGCTGCCTATAAATCCAACAAGCTTACCATGGCTCATCCTCAACCCTCGGCCCCGCCACAGATCAACTTTTCTACTCGTTCTGCTAAAGTTACCATTAAGCCAGACTTCCGGGTTACTATCAATGGTCAAGAGATGAGCAGGTCACGACAAAGTGTAGGTGATGTCAGCATTCAGAAGACGTCCCAAAAAGTGAAAGTAAAATCGCCCTTCATGGCAGTCGAGATATTCCGCCATGAACGTGTCGTATCCGTGAACGTGTCTGGCTGGACCTTCGGTCACATTGCGGGGCTCATGGGCAGTTACGACAACGAAGTTGGCAACGACTGGTTTACGTCTTCGGGAAGGAACGCCTCCAGCTTGAAGGAGCTAGTGGCATCATGGCAGGAGGACCAGCAGTGCCCGACCCCCGACATCTCCCCCTACGACCATAGCAGGACGCCAGCAGAACGGATCGTTGAGTGCTATTCTCTGCTTGAACTTCGGTCCAGATGCTACCCGCTGGTTCACCCCGGGCCCTTCGTGAAGATGTGTCACGCGGCCCACCAGCCCTGCGACGCTGCGAAAGCCTACCGCACCATCTGTGCTTGGAAAGGTGTAAAGGATATGTTCCCCATTGCCTGTTAACCCCTAAACATTTATGTACTAATGAAGTTGTCAGTGAGATATTCCTTAGTAGTAAACTTCTAGATTGTGTTTGTCTTGCATATTTAAAATAACAAAAAAATTAAAATAATTACTAATAAGTGAATTGATTTTTCATTGCCTGTTTTCTACGAATTTATTAAAATCATAAAAATATCATGGTACAAATATCATAGATAAGTAAGCTGGTACTTCTTGGTTATTGATAGCACTTCTTTTTGCACTTACAAGGATATGTGTTGTTTATTGATGTACAAGTGTTGCTAATATCCAGAAGAAGACATTAGCAGTCTCTTCTGCCTCTCCTTGTGGGAACCGACCTGTGAGATTTATATTTATTTAATTTATATGAATTTATATTTACGTTAATTTATATACTTCGATAGCAATTTGTATAATGATGAGTGGACTGTATTTCTGCAATAATCTCTTAATCTCACAAATCGATCCTCTACACATTAGGGGGGGTTTATATTTATATATATGCAGCCAATCAAACTACAGTATTAACTACATACATTGAAGAGGTTCCTTATCTTATAGTACAGCAGGTTAGTCCACCAGGTATAACTAGGGTGTAGACACCAAATTATCCTCTTTGAGGTAGCTTCCATCACCCAGTAACTGGTGCACAAAGTCTTCCTCGTCTTGACCTGTCAAAAGGGCGCTAGCTGTAAAGCCAGATTCTATATATGACAAGCTATATCAGAGAAAACACTATACATGGAACCTTAAAGACCTGGCTTAATTACCTTTAGTTTGAGGCTTCCACGTGCTCTAACCGGGGCACCCTATATAATGACATTAATGGCCATAAATGAAAATAAACGGGTTTCGGAAAGAACACTTAACTTGAATTTGTTGACAGCGTGTTGAAAATGGTACACCTTTGGCTTCCATAACACTACGTCCAAGTAAAATTAACAGGAGCCGTATTTGCTCCCGTGAGCCTCTGGTCTAGTATAAACAACAATGGCTGCCCTCCTACCTCCCTGACGCCTGGCTTACATTGTCCAGATTTCAGAAAGTGATAGAAGGGTCACATTTACTCTACTTTAATATTGATAATTAAGTTAATTTATATAAGATGTTTTTATGATGGTAAAGTCCAAAGACTAATGTATTTAAGAATAATTCCCACCATAATAGGTGGAGAATATAATAGTATGTGGTGATGATATCCCGTTTTCTATAGACGGTAATTCCACTACAAGTTACATTTTCTATGGGTAACTTGTTGGTAATACAGCAGCAATTATCTGTCTGTATGATATTATTATTAAATGGTGTCGGATTTTCCGACACTCCTCACCCCGGTACAACTCTATACAACCAACACTTTACCAGTCTCTCCTCACCCCGGTACAACTCTATACAACCAACACTTCACCAGTCTCCTCACCCCCGGTACAACACTACACAACCAACACTTCACCAGTCTCCTCACCCCCGGTACAACACTACACAACCAACACTTTACCAGTCTCCTCACCCCGGTACAACTCTACACAACCTACACTTTACCAGTCTCTCCTCACCCCGGTACAACTCTACACAACCAACACTTCACCAGTCTCTCCTCACCCCGGTACAACTCTACACAACCAACACTTCACCAGTCTCTCCTCACCCCGGTACAACTCTACACAACCAACACTTCACCAGTCTCTCCTCACCCCGGTACAACTCACACAACCAACACTTCTCCAGTCTCTTCCACTTTGTAAAATTTAATTAAATTTTTGTTTAACTTTGTCTTCCTTTCGAAAATATTACTTGGGAGGTCTCACATTCACACGATTCTAAGTCTTGATGCATGCAAGAAATTACTTTTTTGTGTGAGTTTTTTTGCCAATCACAAAGGCAGTTTTCACATCGTCACCGATCCATTCACTGTTCAGACCCACCTATGTTATCCTAACACACTAGGGTGATATATATATATACACGACGTCCCGGGAGCATGCAAACAGAGAAATTAATATAAAGAACAACGGTTTATCTATCAGCTAACTGTTAAAGTATTGGATAACACACAGCGTTTTCCCGAACTCTTAAAATTATACTTAGGGTCTCTATTTGGGTTTATATTCAGCCATCCCAGGCAGTCCAGAAGCCCGCATAGGACTGACTCACCCTGCAGGGAGGGTGGCAGGCGGCAGGGTCATCGTGGATAACATTGCTGCCCCACGAGCCCTCTGCCTCCCACGTCCCTATCTGAGGGCCGGCGTAGGGGATCTCCCGGGGGCCCTGGGAATGTCCTCCCGCCTCACACATGTAGGGGAACCCGTAAGATTTGTCTGCTGGACACGCGAACTCATCGTTAAAGACTCCTGGCGCCATGCTGGAAGAGCCGAAATCTTGTAATGAATTCTGCGTTTCGTGAGGAGTTGAAGTGGCATGGGTGTGGTTGAGGGTGAGCGAGGCTTGTGGAGGGAGTTGGTGAGGGCAGGGGGCGTGGGCGGGCACGGCAGTGGGTCCCAGCTTAGTCCTCAGCTGCTGTGGTGGGGTCGGAAGTTGCTCCGACAGGAAAGTAACAGCCTCCGTCGCCCCGACACCCGCGTACAGACGGGCACGCATCGGCCACTTCTGAAATAAGTAATGGATTCAATTTGTTATAATTAAATCCGCCTCTCACCTTCCCTACGCCGATAATACTCAGAGATCAGGAACGCTTCCCTCAATATTTCCCTCTTACACACATCACGTACCTTGATGGGGTGTAGGAACCCCTGCTTGACCCTGTGGGTGCCTGTCTCCACTGTATTGGTGGACGGTAAGGGCGGAGGGTAAGGGTTGTGCTCCTGGACGGCCGCCTTGGTGACGGTGGTGTTATTATTGGTGTCGTGGCACGACTGGCTGTCGTCCGCCTCCAAGAGCTGCGACAGGTGGGAGATGTAGGTCGTGGCCAGCACTAACACGTCCAGCTGCAGGAGGTGGAGAGGTTGGTAGTGAAGAGGCTCGCCAGGGAAACGCTTGCAAACTCGCGTGCAGTAAAAAAAATGCATGCACGCACGCACGCACGCACGCACACACACACACACACACACACACACACAAGGCACAAGATGACCTAGACAGACTGAGTGAATGGTCCACATCAGAACAGCGTTCAGGAACCTGTGTAAGGAATCATTCAGAATCTTGTACACCACATATGTAAGACCAATCCTGGAGTATGGAGCCCGTACCTTGTCAAGCACAAGACGAAGCTGGAAAAGTCCAAAGGTATGCCACTAGACTAGTCCCAGAACTAAGAGGCATGAGTTACGAGGAAAGGCTGCGGGAAATGCACCTTACGACACTGGAAGACAGAAGAGTAAGGGGAGACATGATCACAACCTACAAAATCCTCAGAGGAATCGACCGGGTAAACAAGGATAAACTATTCAACACTGGTGGGACGCGAACAAGGGGACACAGGTGGAAACTGAGTACCCACATGAGCCACAGAGACGTTAGAAGGAACTTTTTCAGTGTCAGAGTAGTTAACGGATGGAATGCATTAGGCAGTGATGTGGTGGAGGCTGACTCCATACACAGTTTTAAATGTAGATATGATAGAGCCCAGTAGGCTCAGGAATCTGTACACCAGTTGATTGACAGTTGAGAGGCGGGACCAAAGAGCCAAAGCTCCACCCCCGCAACCACAAATAGGTGAGTACACACACACACACACACACACACACACACACACACACACACACACACACACACACACACACACACACACACACACACACACACACACACACACGTGAGAACGCATGGCCCACCTTGGAGAGCTTGGTATTTGGAGGAACGGAGGGAAGTGCAGCCTGCAGCTCCAGGTAGGCCCTGCGCAGACTCTCCACTCTGGTCCTCTCCCTGAGCGCGTTCTTGGACGTGGCTGACGTAGGTGCAGCGCAGGGAAGGTCAAATATAACAGACACATTTAACAT